CCGCAATAATGCATATCAGAAAACCCGAAATTATGCATATGCACTCTTTCGTTTGAAACCCGAAATAATGCATATGAAAAAAACCGAAATCCTTACTAATATTATAAATTCGAAAGTGAGTTTGTTTATTTGCTATGCTTTCACGCTTTAACTAATCAACCGATCATCATGAAATTTCGTACACTGCTAACACTTAGCCCAACTTAAAATACAAATTTAATCTTGATTAGACAAGGGGGCGTGGCACTTCCCATACAAACGGAATTTTCCATACTGCAATTCTCCGGAAATATATTTGATAGATTACTGGAACTTGGTATGGAGATACATATATAAAATCATTATCTTCTCATGGAAGAGGGCTGCCACCTTTTAAAAAAATCATATTCAACTTCAATTAAGGGAGTTATTTATTTGAAAATTATATTAAAAAATGGAGGCTTAAAAAATCTGTAGTTCGAATATATTTTGAAAAGGGTTGCCACCTGTTTGAAAAGTAAATTTAAATTAATAATACGCAAGCTATCTGAAGAATTAAAATATGGTTGTCTAACTAAACATTGTTAAGAAACCTTTAGGTTGAAAGTTTTGAATAATATTTAAGTCTTTTACAAGGGTTGTCACCTTTTTAAAAATTAAATGCAGGTATTTTGAAATAAATATTAAAGTAAAAGGCGCGCAATAGTTCTGGCGGTTGATTTATCGGTAGTGGTTTGAGGTTTACCCCTGCACAACTTAACCCGGGTGTCTCCGAAAGAAGCTTTAACGCATAATAATACTGTCAAATCACATCTATTGGGCCAATCGTAGCACACAAGAGTCCGATATATTCAATGATGCAACAGATCGATTTGACATTCACGGCACCTTTTCTAACTTGGAGACTATTCGTAATGACTCCAGCGCCACCTCGTAGCCCTTTTTGGCATCCGCCTTTTTCCAATAACTCCAATTTTTCTCCAAGAGTATGCGACTGATTTCACATATCTCCATACCAAGTTCCCGTACTCTATCATGAACATTTGCAGAGATATTCTGTATAAAAATTCAGTATAAATGGGAGGTGCCACGCTCCCTTATCCAATAACACCAATTTTTCTCCATGAGTATGCGTATGTAGCCCATTTTTCTCCATGAGTATAAGACTGATTTCATATTTCGCCGTACAAAGTTCCAGTATTCTACTATGAACACTTCCAGAGATTTGCAGTACGAAAAAATCGGTTTGTATGGGAGGTGCCACGCCCCCTTTATATATCGAAATTTTTTTAGCCTATAACCATCCTTGGGACATAAAAAAACGGCTTTCAAAATATATATTAGTATAGAAGATTGGTATGGATCTAAATGGTTTTGAATATCACAATATGAGTGTCAGGCGAAAGAGGTTTAAAACGGTTGCCAACAGTTAAAAAGGTTAAATTCAAACTATTCAATAATTTAAATGAATTATTACAATATGGGTACCAATTGAAATGGTTTTTAAAGGGCTTCATTTCAAAACCACATGTAAGAGGTTTCCATCTGTTTAAAATCTCAAATGGAGTTCAGGGGATAAGTTAATTGAAAAAGTATGACAATTGAGAAGTTTAAGAGAGGCCCCTATTATAAGTTGCATTCGATTTTCGACTGTGGTCTAAAGTGCTGAGCGAACGACTTTTCATTTGGTATTATGGCGCTCATTCGATGAAGAATAGCGCTATTGTGAATTTCGCTCGTTTAGGTTGTTCACAATAGTATATTTTTCACCGCTGAGAAGCTTTGTTTACAAATCGAGCAAACTAAATAGTGTGCTTATACATATGTACGTATGTAAATTTGTGCAAACTAAAATGAAACAAAAAAGAAAGCGAGTTTATAAAAACGTGGTAAAAAAATAAAATTTAATTAGTACAACGGAGTTCTGATTGGACGATTCGTCAGAGGATGAGAGCTTAGAAAACTGGCCAGGAGCAGAAAACGTTTAAGAGAGCTTAAGTGCATTTAAGAAATTGTATGATGCAAATCTATTATTAAAATATATTAAAACTATAAACAGTTTCTTGATTTTGTTCCAGAGATCGTGCCAACAGCGTATTGGGATTTTCTTTCATAAGTAAAACCAGACTTTCGAGCTTGTGTTTAGTATTCACGACGTTAGAACTCCATGAAATTAATGAAAATTTTTTAAAATTAGTGTCTAGCCGCCAAAAAGTAAGAAAACTAAAGCAAAATCGTACATTTTTCACAATTTTGTAACACTTCGATACACCAACGAAAGCAAAATTCTGTTCGACAGAAAATTCGATACTCAACGAAAATTTCGACACGCTTGCATAGCTCATAATACGAATTTCACTTTCGATCTTCGATCTTCGATAGCCAGCGAAGATCGAAAATCGAATGCAGCTCATAATAAGGGCCNTATTTTGAAGATGGTTAAAAATTTTAAACCTCCTGTTTTTTAATTGAGTTTTCTTGAAATAAATTTTACTCAATGTAGCACGTAGAAATTTCATACACTGAGCGAAGCGGGTGAGGGCGATCTAGTATTTGCCATATTTTTGCAATATTTGTATCCTTTAGCATAAAAATTTGAACCATTTGAACCGAACCTAACTACGGTTCAGTGATACTCATGAATCGGTTCTTGTACCGGTACAAGATTTCCTAAGTGGTTCAAACCACTGAACCGAAGCTCCCCGATTTTTGGAGTGGCTTGCAGCCCTGCTTAAAATCCTAACCCTGATTAAAATTAATAATTATTAAAGAAGAAACCAGCGATTCGATTACATATGTACATTAGAGTGGTTAAAAAAATTTTTTTTTTGGCAATTCATAAACGCTACTTTAAATTATTGTTATTTGTGATAAAAAAAGTGAAACGTGTTTTTTTTATTTTGAAAAAAAAAGTTTTCTTAGAGGTCGCGCTGGTCGGTTTTTTATAAAAACGCTGATATTCTCAATATTTTTATTTTATTGACAGGTTAAAATGCCGCTAAAAATGTACTTTTTACATATAATTACTCCGGTATTATTGGGGAACATTCTCTTAATTACATACCTGTCTTGGGCAGTTAGAATGGCGAAAATATTGTTACGATTATCCTCGAAACCTTGAGGATTTCCCAAATATCCTACGGCTCGTATCGCTGGATTGTTAAATAAATGCTAACGATGACCAAATTGTAGTACAATTAACTTTATTGTACAACAAACAATTTACAATACTTGCTAATACAGTAAAAACACATTACAATACTTGTTAAAGCAATAACAATGCTTTACTGAACTTGTTAACACCACATTCTTTCTCTATCTGCGAGTGTGGTCGGTCGTGCCTTTGCGCGCAAGTAGTGATTCTAAGTAAATTCTTTGGCGCAGCTGTATAAGTGTACAGGGTAATTCGTGGTTTAAATTATTTATTGAAATACATCACCTTCTTTGTGATACTTTTGAGTGCGGGAAGCTTCCCAAACGTAATAATATAATTCTAATCAAGTTGAGCATCTGTAATTCACCAGATTTTGGGATAAACTCAGGTGAGTGACTCTGCTTGTTAAATTTTGTGAGACATTGGTTTATTTTTGTGAGGTCAGTGGTGAAAACAACTATTTAAGTTGCCGTTTGAGGCAACCAAAATAACCAAAGCCGACATGGCGGCTTCGACTACATCGTCGAAGGCGCCATCGGTGGAGGATTTTGAAGCCTTTGCGAGTTCTTACCTCGCAAATGGGAAAAGACTTAAAAGAGACAGAGAATCAAATATTGTCCAAATGTTGGAAGTGCATAGTTTTGGAAAAGGTGGGGTTGAAGGTGCATGCGGTGAGGGTGTTTTGTCCAGCAACAAAAAAGTGGAAAGTGTAAAAAGTGCTCAGAGCGATGCGAGTAACGGGATTTTTACTGTTGATGAGACGGCGTCGGTTAACGGTTCTTTCAATGACATACAGACAATAAATCAAAATGAACAAGCAAATGCTACAGTGACGGACATAACATTATTCCCAAACAATTTCACGGGTAGTTACTTTGTGCTGATAGACTCCTCTTTATGCAAAGACATGGTCAATGAGAAAAGAACAAATGGTCTGACTCTGTTCAACCAAATAAAGCATCTAAGAATCAAAGACATCGATTCCATTCATGCCATTGGCAAGACACTTTACAAAATCATTTTTACTAATTATGCGTCAGCTAACAATTTTATTTTAAATAGAAAAATCAAGGAGATGAACTTGAGAGCTTTTATACCAAAGTCTGCCATAGAGACGTATGGAGTAGTGAGAGGAATCCCACTCTCGTACACTGATTCTGATATCAAAGCCATAGCTATTTCTTCAGTCCCAATAAATTCGGTCAGACGCTTTAACCGAAAATCAGCGACAACTCTTTTACGCCCACAACTACCATAAAAATTGGCTTTGTTGGCAAAGATATCCCCAACCATATTGTAATTGATTACGTGAAATTAGATGTTGACTTTTTCATCCCACCTCTTCGACAGTGCCTTAACTGTGGCCGCCTGGGTCATACGCAATATGGGTGCAAGTCAAAGAAAAGATGCATTAAATGCGGAGGAAATGAATGTGAGGGTGCCTCTTGTGTAAGAAAATGTATCCTTTGCGGAGACACTGATCACTTTTCAGGGGAAAAGGAGAAGTGCAAAGCATGGGAGAACGTGAAATAAATTATGTAAAGGCTGTCAAAAAGCTCTCTAGGAGGGAGACAATACACAATTACTTCTCTGATAGGGAAAATCAGTTTCAAGCACTTGCGGTGGATGAGGATATATTCCCTTCACTGTCAAAAGAAACCAGCAACGTTCGCAATAGGGACGTGAGTGTTAACAAGAAGTTAACTAGGACCAGGTATAGTACTGTAACTAAAAAAGGTATGGGTAAAAACGCAAATGGCAGGGAACAAAAAGTGGTAGTTAGGGAAGTTAAGGAAAATAAGCAAATTCAGCCGGTATATGAGAGGCCAGAGTACCTCAAGAATAAAGTCTCCCAATTGGAGAAGCTAATCGCGGAACTTTTTAAAATTTTTCAAAATATAAATGCCAGTGGGCAACTAGGGGAAGCTTTCTCCCAAATGCAAAAAATAAAACAAAATTTTGAACTCTTTTCTATCTATGAAGATGCTGAAACAATAAGATGTAATGCCGAAATCTCCTTAAATTGAGTTGAGGTTATTACAATACAATATTCAATCGCTAAAATCGAATTTAAATGCCATAGAGTTTTATATGAATCATAACAATGTAGACATAGGTTGCTTCAGTGAAATTTTCACGTCACATAAAACAGCGCGCAGGAACTTAATAGGGTACAACATAATTGAGAAAACTAGGTCTGATGGTTACGGTGGCGTAGCCGTCGTATTAAAAAAAGAAATAAAATTTCAAAAGCTCAATTTTATGTCGGATTATGACATCCTAATAGTGCGAACCAAAAATTGCAAACCAAATATAACTATCTGCTCTGTTTATTTTCCGCACAGTATCGCCACGGATCCTTTTCGTGAGGAAATCGTGAAGCTGTTTTCGTACCTGGAAAACATGGGGAATGTTCTAATACTTGGCGATTTCAATGCGAGAGCGAGAATCTGGGGTGATACAGTACAGTCCTGTCGTGGTAATAACCTGCAAAAAATTATTTCAGAATTTAATTTTTTGATATTAAATGATGGATCATACACTTTTCAGAATGAAATAGGTTCAGCCGGTGGTTCAGTGCTAGATTTGTCCTTTACAAACAGTAGTTTGTTCTTTGACTGGAAAGTAGACCCCATTAGAGTAGGAGGAAGCCACCATTTCCCGATTTTGATCGACACCTTGTCAGTCTCACTCTTAGCCACTAAATTTGGTTCAAAGAAGAAATTAATGGAAAATCTTAAGGATATTGATTTGGAGCCCAATTTTGAGGATATTCACGAAACGCTAAGGGAAGAAATTGATGCCGCCACGTATGTGTTAAGGGGGAAAAGAACACCAAAAGCGTGGTGGGATGAATCTCTCTCAAAAATGTACCGCTTGGTCAGAATTGCTTTTAAAAAATGTAGGGTAACACCTTCACCCCAAAATTTTGAGGCTCTACAGGAGATTAGGAAGGAGTGGAAAAAAAAAGTTAAAGATGCAAAAAAGCAAAGTTTCAATAACAAAATTGAGGATTTAAATCTAGCTCCCACGACGAGAGAAGCCTGGAGGATTGTAAAGGCGATGAGAGGAGATTACAAACGCAGTAATGATACCATGTGGTCCAGGGAAAATGACAAAGATTATCTTCTACTTCTCAAAACTCAAGTTCCACCATCTGACATAGCACATCCTATCAATAGAGAGATTAGTCCTGTAAATGAACTAGCGATTACTTTTGAGGAGCTCCACGAAGTTCTGTTCTCGAAGAACAGAGATTCAGCAGGAGGAGTCGATCAAATTACATACAAAATGCTTAGAGCTCTGTCTCACTCGGCTCTAAACGATGTCAAAACAGCTCTAAATAATGCGTTTCTTTCCAATCAAATCCCGGACAGGTGGCGCACAATCAAGGTAGTTCCCATTCCTAAGAGAAATCAAGATCTCAGTATTTTCTCCAATTTCAGGCCTATTGCCTTGATTCCTGTTTTCCTCAAGTGCATCAATCTATGCATTAAAAACAGAATCTCTGATTTCTTGGAAGGAAATGATCTGTTACCGAAATTCTCCTTTGCGTACAGAAGGAAAAAATCCGCTACAATGTGTATTAACTATTTGTTGCATGAAGCATCTGTTCTCAAAAGTCAGGGATATAAAATTATAATATGTTCTACTGATATAAGCAATGCGTACAACTGTGTCCGTGTCAATCGCTTGAAGACAGAGATGATTACAGCAGGTATACATGAGTCCTACATAGAATGGATTATAAATTTTTTATCAAAAAGAACACTTCAGCTCGGAAAGGAGACGGTTGAAATTCAGGATGGCCTGCCTCAAGGCAGCTGTTTATCTCCGCTGCTTTTCAATCTGTATACGAAAAATCTCCACTCCTTACAAGACTGTAACACCAAATTTTTTCAATTTGCGGATGACTTTATCATAATATCGTTTCATAGAAATGTAGAACAGATGGCTCAAAATTTGCAACAAAAAATAAACGACTTTTCCCAGCTGTGTGCGGATAGCAACTTAGCCTTTAATCCGTAAAAAAACGAAGGTTATGTACCTGTGTAATGGGCATAAGACTGAGTTTGAGATGCTCTGTCAAGGCAAAAGAGTTGAGAAGGTAAGGGCTCTGAAGTTTTTGGGCAGGTTCCTTAGTGCATCTTTGACAGCTAATGATCACTATGAGGAGATAATCAAGAAATCTCAAGCTAATTCTAATCTTTTTAAGGCTATAACTACAGTCAAAGCAGGGCTCCGCCCTCAAGTAGCTCTAAATTACTATAAATCTGTGGTACGAAGCAAAATAGAATACTGCAGATCCTCAACTGCGTATTGAGCCAAAACCACAAGCAAAAAGATCAGAACGTTTCAGAATAGCTTTTTGAGGACATGTTTGGGATTAACGCCTGCCACTCCTGTTGTCCTTATCTATGCGCTCGCCAACGAACTTCCACCAGAAGAAAGAGCCAAATGGCTAACTGCAAAGGAGCTCATAAATAACTTTGTCATAGATCAGTCGCTCAAAGAATCGCTTTATCAGTACCCGGCAGTTAAATCTAGCTACAGTTTAATTTTTAATGAATTCAGGCAGACTTTTGACAATCTTGAAGTAGTTAATGAACAAATTTATTCACCTAATCTCATTGTAATTACCAAAACACTCACATACAAAAAAAAAAAAAATTGGCATCTGAAGTCATCAAAACGATTTATGTGGAATAGTTAAACGATTATAAAAGAGCAGGTTTTAATATATTTTATACGGACACGTCAGTTGGGTCTAATGTCACGGGATGTGGAGTGTAAACTTAATTTCCAAACCTCGTCCTGTTTTGGCGAAATTGTAGCCATTCACAGCGCTCTTGAAATGGCAAAAAAGCACTCGATCAGGAAGATCGCTATATTTACGGACAGCCTTATTGCCTGCCAACTTCTAACCAAGCATATGACTCAAAATCATTTAATCTATAAAATACACAAGCTCATACAGGAAGCAGATTTTGACAGGGTGGCGGTTATATGGACGCCTAGTCATAAGGGCATTCCGGGAAATGAGAGGGCGGACCAATTAGCAAGGAATGCAATAACAGGTGATTGTATAGTTAATGTGAAACTCTCGCTAGATGAAGCGGTCAGGCAAATAGGTAACCAAATTAAGGATAGATGGTATGATGAGGTATTAGAATACTCCATAAATAAGCCCAACCTGTTCACTGAGATTTTTAATAGACGTCCAAACAAGACTTGGTATAAAAAGTGCACCCTGAGTGCTCAAAAGACCAAGCTCATCAACAGAATCCTCACTGGATGCGCTTACGATACAGAATACTTTTACAAGATCAAACTAATTAACTCTAATTGGTGCAGTTGTGGACAAATTTACAGCTTTTCTCATCAAATTTTTGAATGCAGTCTCTGGGATGGAGCTCGTGAGGACTTTGATATTTTTTGTGAAAGTTCTAACCTCAGCCAATTGTTTCGCAATTTTAACATAAGCAAAATCACTCAACTTTCAGATTTTTTAATGAAAATAGAAGCAAAATTTTAAAAGTATAAATTATTTGGTTTATCTGTGGTGGAAGTGCCGTCCACCGCGCTCTTTTTCCTATCTACTTTCCCTTCTTTTACTACTTTTCTAAACTATTTTTATGTAAACACGACTACTAATACAACAAGACGACAACTCGCTGCTGTCACAGAACATCCAAGGCGAATATATACAATCACCTACAACTATACTCAGCTGTTCCATTTTGCAACTCTACCAAGATATAAAGAACGAAAGATACAACCTGGCGATCTGTGAACCACACTTCCTGCCAACAATCAACCAAATCCCAAAAAAAAAAAACTTGTTAACACAATTAAACTTATAGCTTGCTTATTCGCAACTCACTTCTCTGCTCACTTTACTTGTAGCTTGCTGACTTGTAACTAACTCACTTCGCTGTGGCGGCGCCCTTATATACCTGCACTCGTACTTATGGCAACTCTAGAACGTTCTGAAGTTTATCGCTCATTCTCTGTTCGCAGTGTTCATCCAACTTGACGTTTCTCTTTGTGGAACATTCTACGTCATTCCTCGAACATTCTGCCTATTTCTCGTTGTTCGCTTCGCGTTGCCGCAGTATTCGTCACACTGCCCTCCACTTAATTCTGATCGTTCTGTTGCTGTTCCAAACGCTGCAAGCCTTTCCAAGTGGACCACCTTCATCTTGTTTCTTGGTCTCCCAACGGTCTGGATTCGATACACTACGTCAATCAGCCGGTTGACGACCTTATACGGACTTTCCCAGTTGCATTGTAGTTTTGGGGACAAACCTTTCTTCCGTTGTGGATTGTACAGCAACACTAAGTCTCCCTCTTTGAAACCCTCGGAGTTCATCGCCTTATCATACCTGGCCTTCATCTTGTCACTCATAATTTGAGTTCGCTGTCTCACAAGAGCATGTATTTCTCTTAACTCCTTTTCCAGGATGTTGGACGTATCTTTCCCAATTCTCGTTGCATCGCCAGTTACTCCAAACTTCAGGTCACTAGGCAAACGGAGCTCACTGCCGAAGATTACCCTTGCAGGAGTTTTACCCGTTGTTTCATGCACTGCTGACCGGTATCCCATCAGGAACAAGGGTATGCGGACATCCCAATCTTTTTGATTCTTGTCCACGACCTTCCGCAAATGCTCTTCCAGGGTTCGGTTGAACCGTTCCACCATGCCGTCTGATTGGGGATGAAGAGCCGTCGTTCGAGTTTTCCGGATACCCAGTATCTGGCACATCTCTTGGAACACTGCCGACTCAAAATTTCTTCCCTGGTCAGAGTGCAGCTCTATAGGTACACCGTATCTCGCAACCCAATTGTAGGTGAATACCTCCGCTACTGTTTTAGCTTCCTGGTTTGGAATCGGGTATACCTCCGGCCATTTGCTAAAGTAGTCCATAGCCACAAGGACGTATTTGTTTCCCTTTGCGCTCATAGGAAATGGACCGGCTACATCCATGGCAATCCGCTCGAAAGGTGCACCTGAGTTATATTGCTTCATCTGGCCCTTTAGCTGCAATACACTCCGCGCAGTTAGCAATCCACTCTGCGACCGATTGCCGACAACCAACCCAATAGAACCTCTGCTTAACCTTCTCCAGGGTCTTCGTGATTCCCAGGTGCCCTTCACTAGGACCATTGTTAAATTCCTTGAGTACATCCGGAATTCTTACCCTTGGAACTACTATCAGGTTGCGGGAGCACTGGCCATCTTCGCTTTCCCATACCCTATGCAAACAGCCAGATATTAATTTTAAGCTGTTCCATTGTGCCCAGTACGCCTTTGCGATGGGGCTTTCCGCTGCCATTTGCTCCTTAGTTGGCCTCCTGTCCACCTCCAGTCCATGCATCAAAAGCTCCAGATCTGGATCTTCCTGCTGACACTTTCGTAGCTGTTCTTCCTTCCACTCTTCCGCTGGTGTTACTGTCGTTAGACGGGCGTCTATAATGTCCTCTTTCCCCTAAGCTTTTGAGCAGTGTTTACATTCCAGGCTACATGGTCGGCGGGACATGGCATCAGCATTACCGTGGACACTTCCCTTGCGGTGCTCAATAGCGAAGTCATAACTTTGCAGTCTCTCAATCCACCGAGCTAGCTGTCTTTCTGGATTCTTAAACTGTAGTAGCCACTTCCGCGCTGCATGATCCGTTCGAACTCGGAAACGTTGCCCATAGAGGTACTTGTGGTAAGGTTTGACGCACTGCGCCAACGCTAGTAGTTCTCTCCAAGTTACGCAGTAGTTCCTTTCTGGTTTTCCAATCGACCGGCTATAGTAGGCAACCACCTTCTCCTGCCCATCAACTACCTGCGACAGTACACCTCCTATGGCATAATTACTAGCATCCTTATCCAAAATAAACGTTGCACCTGGAACGGGATACGCTAGCATAGATGCAGTACATAGTCGTTCCTTCAGAGTCTGGAAAGCCTCCTCCTGCTCCTTGTTCCACTCGAAGGCTCTATTTTTCCTAGTGAGCTCGTGNTTACTAGCATCCTTATCCAAAATAAACGTTGCACCTGGAACGGGATACGCTAGCATAGATGCAGTACATAGTCGTTCCTTCAGAGTCTGGAAAGCCTCCTCCTGCTCCTTGTTGCACTTGAAGGCTCTATTTTTCCTAGTGAGCTCGTGGAGGCTATTAGCAACGCTGGCGAAATTCGGAACAAATCGACGGTAGTAGGTGCATAGCCCAAGAAAACTTCGTAGTTCGTGCAGGTTCCTAGGTCTTGGCCAATCCTTTACTGCTTCTATCTTTTCCTTCGCAGTACAGACGCCCTCCGTTGTCAACTTGTGCCCTAAGTAGTTCTCCTCCTTCCTGAACAGTGAGCACTTTTGATTTTAATGATTTTAAGATAACATTTAAATGAAACTTAGAGTTAAAAAATATAGTTAAATCTATTACGTTTACGATCACATACTTAAATTTTTTCATAGCAACTAAGAATTTGAAAAAATAAATAATTTAGTCATGTAACAGAAAAATAAGAATAATTTTACTTATTAGATCAATGCCTTACATTTTCTTTTTTAACCAATATTACTTAAAAAAAACTATCAGTTTTCGTAACATTGAGTGCCCACACAGGCTAGTGATCAGGACAAATCAATTTGTTACAAGTCTTGTGCCACTTTTTTGTGGATGGACTTACATAGAGCTCTGGTACAATAGGTGAACCGACCAACTAAAATTTGGTATTACATCGTGCTGTACTTCTTGAGATGCTCCTAGGAGCTTCCCTATTCCAAATTTTAGTTGTTAGAGAAGTGTTTCAATGGATGTACAGCGATTCAAAACGGGTTTCAAAAAATCGAGGGACTATTCTTGTAAAAAGTTATCCGTGAAATTTTTTCCAGATTTGACATTCATTTGGTTGATTATGAGAGCTTCGATTGCAGCAATGTTCATCAAATCGAAAAATATTTTAAGTGGCTATCGGCGGGTGTTTCTAAGAACACTGATGCACCGCATATGCAAAGTAACCAAATTATAAATTCAGTACACCAATACTCGCGCGGACTACTATGGTAGGCCCGTGATTTTCGCGCCAATCCACGCAAAAATTTCATACGCGTGGAAGTCAAGCGCGGTACTCACTCGCCGACAAATTTAGTGCAGAAGGCTTTCCTGGAACCGCACCGCTGTAACATACAAAACTGTCAAGGTATCAACAAAAATGTTGCCGTGATCTACTATAGTAGGCCGCGCGTGTACTCTAGTGTNGTGTTTCTAAGAACACTGATGCACCGCATATGCAAAGTAACCAAATTATAAATTCAGTACACCAATACTCGCGCGGACTACTATGGTAGGCCCGTGATTTTCGCGCCAATCCACGCAAAAATTTCATACGCGTGGAAGTCAAGCGCGGTACTCACTCGCCGACAAATTTAGTGCAGAAGGCTTTCCTGGAACCGCACCGCTGTAACATACAAAACTGTCAAGGTATCAACAAAAATGTTGCCGTGATCTACTATAGTAGGCCGCGCGTGTACTCTAGTGTTAAAAAAAGTTTATGAAAATGTTTCTAAATTCGTACAAAAAAAATTTCCCACATACTTTGTATGAAAGAAAATCCGTGAAAAATTTTTCAATTTTAATCAACTTAAAACCTAAACAAAATTTCCTAGAAACTTTTATTAGATGAAACTTTGCAGAATTTTAATAATTTTTGCACAAATTTGAAACTTGGATTTATATGGTTAAAAATAAATGAACATTAAATAAACAAAAGAAAAGTAGCCAAAACTTGCTGAAATGTTGAGCCCCTACTTATTTTTCCGCCACTATACATGTGGATATTTGAATTTGATCAGTAACAGAGCCTTTTATTTTTATGTTACATATTTGCCATATTTTTGAAATATTTGTATCCTTTAGCATAAAAAATTGAACCATTTGAACCGAACCGAACTACGGTTCAGTGATACTCATGAATCGGTCCTTGTACCGGTACAAGATTTCCTAAGTGGTTCAAACCACTGAACCGAACCTCCCCGATTTTTGGAGTGGCTTTCAGCCCTGCTTAGAATCCTAATCCTGATTAAAATTAATAATTATTAAAGAAGAAACCAGCGATTCGATTACATATGTACATTAGAGTGGTTAAAAAAAAATTTTTTTTTGGCAATTCATAAACGCTACCTCAAATTATTGTTATTTGTGATAAAAAAGTGAAACGTGTTTTTTTATTTTGAAAAAAAAAAGTTTTCTTAGAGGTCGCGCTGGTCGGTTTTTTATAAAAACGCTGATGTTCTCAATATTTTTATTTTCTTGACAGGTTAAAATGCCGCTAAAAATGTACTTTTTACATATAATTACTCCGGTATTATTGGAGAACATTCACTTAATTACATACCTGTCTTGGGCAGTTAGAATCGCGAAAATATGCCCTCGAAAGAGACTAGTAAAATTAAAACGTTGATACTGAACGATTTACGCATTGTCATGGGTTGGAACTTGTTACCAGGGGGTTTCTGGGGTTGCTAATTAGGAATCTGATGTCAGTTTTTCGAAATTCAAAATGGCGGATCCAAAATGGCGGTCCATTTTTTTTTTAAATGATTGGATTTGTTCGAGACCCGGCACTCGAGAGTTTTTGGGGTCGCCGATTACCAATCTGAAATAAATTTTTTTAAATTCAAGATGGCGGATCCAATATGGCGATCAAATTAAAAAAGGTACTAAAATTAAAACGTTGATACTGAACGTTTTAAACACTGTCTAGGGTTAAAACTCGTCTTTTGTTGGTTTCTGAGCTTTCTGATTATGAATCTGATGTCAGATTTTCAAAATTCAAAATGGCGGATCCAAAATGGCGGCCAACTTAAAAAAAATGTTTGGATTTGTTT